ATTTCATGTAAATGGAGTCATACAATGTTTAGTCCTTTGTTTCTTTCACCTAGAAGAATGATTTCAAGATTTGTCCTTGTCGCAGCTTATATCAGTACCTCGTTTCTTCTTATTGATGACTAATATTAAGTTGTATGGATATACCACATTTTATTTATTTATTCATCAGGTGATGGATGTTTGGGTTGTTCTATTTTTTTAGCTTTTATGAATTATTATATGCCAACATATAATAAAACCTTGTTATATGGTTTGGTGTGAACATGTTTTCATTTCTCTAAGGTATATATACCTAGGAGTGGAAATGCTGGGTTATGAGATAACTATATTCAACTGCTTTAAAAACTGACAGATTGTCTTTTCAAGATGCTGTGCCATTTTACATTCCCACCAGCAGTGTATGAAATTTCCAGTTCCTGGGAGGGGGGACCGGGATGGGGAATACATGTAAATCCATGGCTAATTCATTTCAATGTATGGCAAAAACCACTACAATGTTGTAAAGTAATTAGCCTCCAACTAATAAAAATAAATGGAAAAAAAAAAAAGAAAGTAAATAGTAAGTATCTTAAAGACTCAAGTCACTGTTATACAAGTTTTCTGGACTCCAGGAAAAAAACATTCCTGAGATTCCAATGAACAAGTGAATATTGAATGAAACAAGTAATAATCCCCCAAGATTTATTTTTCTCTCTGCCGTTGAGTAAGAGAACCACATAATCCTGCTTAGGGAAGGACAATAGAATTTTAGCTGGAGACTGCATCTCTCAGCTTCCCATGGAAGATAGACCATGTGACTAGGTTCTGAACAATGGATGTGAGCAGAAGTGATGAGGGTAAATTCTGGGTCACCTTCACAAGGTTGCAGCCTGCCACCGTCCTCTTTCCCCCTTCTCTGAGAGGACGGCATTTCAGTGAGGTGAGCCACCTGCAGCCAGGCAAGGAGGGCAGAGACACCCTAGCGGATTCAGAGCAAAAGGCACAAGCAGCTCGGATGCCTGGATTTCTCTGTGACGCAGCGCCCCCTAGTGGCCCCGAAGAGCCTGCAGTCAGACTTTTCCCCACCGGAGAAGTAACCTTCCCTCTTGCTTGAGCCACTGTGATACCTTCATGCAGCTGAACATGCATCCTAATCAGCACAACGACCAGCTCAAGACCTACCTGGCCAGTATGTGGCGGGCAGAGCCAGAGTTGAGGGACTGAGGTGACAGAGAGAACAGGAGACATCGCTGCCTCAGCAGGAGAAACCTGCTTCCCTCCTCCTCAGGAGGTTGTTGAGCATATTAGATTAAGACTCCCTCAAAACCACAATGAGGTACCATCTCACGCCGGTCAGAATGGCTGCTCTCAAAACGCCTACCAACAATAAATGCTGGAGAGGGTGCGGAGAAAAGGGAACCCTCTTACACTGTTGGTGGGAATGCAAACTAGTACAGCCACTATAAAGAACAGTATGAGATTCCTTAAAAACTGGAACTAGAACTGCCATATGACCCAGAAATCCCACTGCTGGGCATACACACTGAGGAAACCAGAATTGAAAGAGACACGTGTACCCCAATGTTCATCGCAGCACTGTTTACAATAGCCAGGACATGGAAGCAACCTAGATGCCCATTGGCAGATGCATGGGTAAGAAAGCTGTGGTCCATATACACCATGGAATATTACTCAGCTGTTAAATAGAATGCATTTGAATCAGTTCTAATGAGGTGGATGAAACTGGAGCCTACTATACAGAGTGAAGTAAGCCAGAAAGAAAAACACCAATACAGTATATTAACACAAATATATAGAATTTACAAAGATGGTAATGATGACCCTACGTGTGAGACAGCAGAAGGGACACAGATGTAAAGAACAGACTTTTGGACTCCATGGGAGAAGGTGAAGGCGGGATGATTTGAGAGAATAGCATTAGAACATGTATATTACCATATGTGAAATAGATGCACGAGACAGAGCTCTCAGGGCCGGTGCACTGGGATGACTCTGAGGGATGGGATGGGGAGGGAGGTGGCAGGGGGGTTCAGGATGGGGACACATGTACAGCCATGGCTGATTCATGTAAATGTATGGCAAAACCACTACAATATTGTAAAGTAATTAGACTGCAATTAAAATAAATAAATTTTTTTAAAAAATGACTCCCCATCTCCTGAACTGCCCTGAGGACTGAAGTCAACAGGTGTACATCTTGTTCTTAGAACCAGGAGGTTATTGTGGGAGGAAATCGGTGTCCATCCTCTAGGAGTCCTAGGAGCTTGGCTGGTCTTCAGAATATTATAGAGCCTCACAGAGTCCCCTGGGGAGGAGCCACACTACAGGCTTCCACGTTCCTTCCTGCACCAGTGATGAGAACCCGCATTTGCTAAGATTCTGGATGCTGCGCTGGAGGGCAGGCCTGCAGGGTCAGCTCTGGGGAGTTCAGCGTGGTGGGCGTGGTGGGCTGAGACCACGGGTGAGGGCTGTCCCTGTGAGGTCACCCCCAAGGAGGGCGGGTCAGCACCCACCCCCTCCCTCGTGCTCCCACCATTGTCAGGCCAGACCCTGTTCTGAGTCCTGGGGACCCAGAGGAGAATCAGATGACGGTCACTGCCAGAGGCCACCTATAGTTACAAGAGGAAGAGGGGGAGGTGATAAGGTACTGGGACCTGGAGGTACCTGGACCATGAGACCCCTCAGCTGAGTCCAAGACGAGCTGTTGAAGTGGGAAGAATAGGAAACCTTGTGGCTGGAAGCACAGGAGACGTGTCATTGGAGCAGGGCAGGGACAGGGGGAAGGAGACAGATGAGAAGGAGGCCAGGTGATGAGACCCGAGGCTGTACTAGGGAGACTGGGGAGTTTGTATGAAGACGACTAAAGGGTCGCCGCCTGTTCCCACTCACCTTGCTACGGCATCAAACCGAAAGATCTTTAACAGGAGAAATGAGAAAGTCACAGACTTTGGAGTCAGAGAACCAGGCCAGTACTGGCCCTGCAGACCTGCCTGGTGGGGGAGGTTCAGTCTCTCGGCTTCAGCGCCTTCACAGGCACCAGGGCGGGGGGTGACAGCCCTCCTCCTAGGTGTGAGCATGCATGGGGACACAGGAGCAGCTCCTGGCAGGCAGGAGGACTCTGTGGCAGGCATCGTGATCAAACGTAAAGACAGAAGCGTGCAAACGTACACTACCACTTGTAAAATAGATAGCTAGTGGGAAATTGCTCTATGAGAGGGAGGTTCGAGAGGGAGGGGACATATGTATGCCTGCGGCTGATTCATGTTGATGTGTGGCAGAAACCAACACAATATGGCAATGCAATTATCCTTCAATTAAAAATAAATAAATTTAAAAAAAGAAAAGGGATGTGGGGGTCTGAGAAGAGAGGGTTCTGTCGGCTGAACCACCTTTGGAATGGAAGTGGCAAATCTTGACGTAGAATGAGGTCTAGAAACAGGACAGTGGAATCTCAGATGAGGGAGGGACCCCAGATTAAAGAGGGAAAAGGGAAGATAATGCTAAAAGGATCTTTAGACAATATCCAATGCTATTTTGGTGTTTGTCACAGGGGGTAACTGGGGTTCCTCTTTCGTGGAGTGATGGCGGAGTTTCAGCTCTAACAGGCCTCCAAATGTGAATGAGAGCTCCAAAAACTGCGATCCAGCGATGCTGTCCCCCCTCCACGGTGATTGCTGAGGAGCTGGGGGAACGCAAAAAGCAAGGTGAACAGGGAAACAGGATTGGCACTAGATAGCTAAGGTGCATATGAAAGAAATGAATTCAGTGAGCCCAGAGGCTTGCATCTTCCCATACAAAGAATGCTAAATTCCTTAACTTGATAGCTGACCTCTGATGTTCAGACTGCCTGCTTTCTTTGTTGCAAAGTTGTGTATAACCTGACTTCTCCCCTGCCTCCTTGGAGGGGTTTGCTCAGAGCTACTGAGAGGCTGTCTCCTAGGCTCAGAGTCCTAAACATTCCCACCAAATAAAGTTAACTCTCTACTTTCAGGTTGTGACTATATGTTTTAGTCAACAGCACCAACTGCCCATCGGTCACAGTCCACCCAATGAGGAAAAGCAGGGAAAAACACTGGCTTCCAGGGCTATACCGTGGAGTTGCCTGCCCAGGTCATAGCCAGACCATGTGTTTAACTGGGGGTAAGAGACAGGCAACTGATTTGGGGGTATCCATGAAAAGGAGTGAGGACTGCCCATGGGAGACCCTGAAGAGTTATGCTTCGAGTCAGGATACCTGACCCAGAAGAATCCCACCTGGCTGGTATAAGCTGTGTGACCATGAGCCAGTTGCCCGCACTCTCTGAACCTGGAGCAGCTCTTTACAGCATGGTTAGTATTCCAACCATACTGGCTGTTGGAAAGAGTCAATTCAATAATGTGTGCAAAATCCTGGCAAGCACCTGGCACCTGGGTGAGCCCGTGTAATGGGCTCTCAGCTCCACAAGCTGCAGGTTCTCATCCCTTCTCTGGGTGGGGGGCAAACTGGTGGACACCAGTCTGAGCTTTGCTACCTTGAGCAAGACGCTGGGCCTCTGGGTCTCCCCATCAGTGACTGCTCCGGAGAAAGGTGAAGCCTGGAGGGGCCAGACAAGCACCAAAGAGGCATCCCGGGTGCTTCCATCACCTGGTTACTCCAAGTACAGCCTCTCTGAGCAGGGAGGTCACTCCCACTGTGGATGTAGCTGTCAGAGGCCACTGGCCGCCTGTGATCACCCAGGGAGCGGGGGGAGCAGGACCTGGTCCCGGGCTGCCCTCCATGGAGCGGGGCCTCTCACTCCCTGGGATGAGTGAAGCCAATCTGCCGCCAGCCTTGAAACCACAGGGACTGTGGCACCCCCCGGCTGGGTCACCAGCTCCCGTCCCCATGGGGGCCACACAGATGTGCAAATGAAGGAAGAGAGTGTGGACACAGGGCCTCCCTGGAGTCCAGTGTCAGAGGGGACCCCATTCAAGCCAGCTGAGTGCCAGCGGGGCTGCCACAGCTGCAATGAATAGCCAGAAAGACGGGATTAAACACAAACCTATCTCCTGGGCATGGGGCTGACCACAACTCTGATCTAAACTCTGAGAGCAGCGCAGGAGGGTTTGGGGCCTCCTGGTTTACACAGCACAGCCCTGGCCACAGAGAGCACTGTCCTGGGAGATGGCTAAAGGGTCATCACTGGGACCCGTTAGCTTGGTCCCGGGAACTAAGGAGTAAAATCCTGGGACCCACAGTGTTGGGGGGCCCCTGGCACTCACACCATCTGCCGAGGGCCCTGCCCTCTGCTCTCACTGCTGTTCCAGCAAGGGAGCCTCTGTGCCCACTCTGTGCCATATGCACGATAAACGGTGCCCTGGGAGAAGGACACGGGCAGACACTCCTTGATGGGAAGGTGCTTTCCTGGGGAGATACATGTGGAAACAGATCAAGGCACTGTATGCTGCAGAGGGATGTGCCAGCCAGGCCCAGGGTCAGGGCCAGCCTCCCAGAAGGATATGCTGGGTGGCCCTGAGGCTGCCATGGGGGGACAGACCAGTCAAACCCAGGGGCCCCAGGGGTGAGGTCCAGGGACTCAGAAGGGCTTCCTTGGGCTGAAATGATGGGGGTGTGGGTGTTGGGAGATGAACCTGAGAGGAGCTGACCCCCCGGGTTGTCCCTGTGGATCTACGTGCTTCCCCCCCCAAGCAGGGAGCCCCCAGGATGGAGCCACGGCTGCTTCCCATCTGGGTCAGCCTGGCTCACCGTGGAGCCCAGGGATGCTGGTTAAAGGAATGCAAAGAGCACCAGGCAGGGAGTCAGCAGGCATGGCGGCTACTTCTGGGGACCGTGAGCAGCCTCGATCCTCCCTGGGCCTCAGTTTCCCCTTCTGTAAACTGGGCGTGGCAATCATGCTTCCCCGCCAGTCAGTACTCCACACATCGATGGGTGCCCCCCGCCCACAAGCGGAGGCTGCCCAGTGGACCCAGGACCAGATTCAACACGGCCTCAAGGCTCTTGCTGCCCCTCTCTCTTTAAAATGAGCTACTCTCTTATATCCACTATCACAGAGCGATTTTATTCGTTTATTCATGTGTTTACTTTCTCCTTCCAAAAAACAGCTCTAGGAGGTTGGTGCGTGCATGCATGTGAAGCTGCTCCAGTCGTGTCTGACTCTTTGCGACCCCATGGACTATAGCCTTCCAGGCTCCTCTGTGCATGGGATTCTCCAGGCAAGAATACTGGAGTGGGTTGCCAGGCCCTCCTCCAGGGGATCTTCCTCACCCAGGGATGGAACCTGCATCTCTTAAGTCTCCTGAATTGGCAGGCGGGTTCTTTACCACTAGCACTGCCTAGAAAGCCCAAGTAGGTAGGTAATAATAACCAACCACTTGCCCCAGAAACCTAAAGAAATCAGTCTTTTTATCTTTTTTTTCTGCCCTCATTCATTCATTCCTTCAACAAATTTTCATAGAGTGTCTATCCCATCCATGAGGCAGCTTGAGGATACGTTCATAGACATATTCACTGGGTGAAGCCTCTTCCCCATTGAACTGAGTCTCTAGTGGGGAAAACAGACATTCAACAAGCCAGTAAGTAAAATGTACTAAAGGGAAGTGTTTAAAAACTGATTAATGAAGACAATATAGGTGATACACACCTACTTTATTTAATACTTCCTAAGCAGTCTCCTTGAGCAGAATTCAGAATGGAGTGTAGGGCAGAAAGGTTTTAGAAGATAAAGAATATTCTCTAAGGGGAAGGAGGGAAGAGGAAGAGAAAAGCTGAAAAATCTGTCTGGGTCCACATACTCCATCTTGTTGGACAAAACGTACAGGGAAATAAGATTCACACTTGGGATGGACTTGGCCACTGGGATTTCGCTGCCCCACAGACTATTTCTGGAACATTTACAGAGACAAGAAAGTTACCCAAAATTCGGTTTACTGATGTGGCCTCCCAGACAAAAGAATGGCTACATATTGGGCCTAGAAATGTTCTCAACGGAAGGACTGGGGAAACAGAATAGGGGAGTAGATAGGGATGTCAGGAAGACCTCACCAAGAAAGTACTTTCAAGGAACAACCAGGAGGAAGAGAGAGACTGGGTCTTGCAGGTCTCTTGAAGGAAAGCCTTTGGGGCAGAGGGAACAGCCAGTCCGAAGGTCACTACCTCCCATCAGAAGTGGACATCAGGGCAGAGAGGGCCCCCTGGATGAGGAACATTACTGTGGCCTGACACATAGCCGTGCACACACCATCTAACCTTTGCAACCTTTGATTCTCCCTAGCACACGTGGGGAAAGTGAGGTTGAGAGACAGGAAGTGACCAGCGCAAAGTCTGCTACTCAGCCAGTCTCTAGCAGGGCAGGACTTCAATCCAGGTTGATTCCAGATATTCTAAGTCGACCCCAGACTGCAAACCTAGCACAGGATCTGGAATGGAGAAGGAAGCTACAGCTTCAGAGGTGATGGGGGCGGGGGGGCGGGGNGAATGGAGAAGGAAGCTACAGCTTCAGAGGTGATGGGGGCGGGGGGGCGGGGTGGGTGGCACCAGGCACCTACCTGGACGGTATGGAGCCAGCTCACATCCAATTGACTGTGAGGGATCACGAAGACCCTGATCGTGGACTCGGGCAGGGTTTCCAGAAGCCACAACAGCAGCAGCTGTGTGAGCACTGACCCCATCCCAGAGGCCTGCGGACTGGGGCTGGGGCTGGCAGTTTCAAGGACCTCCGGTTTAGCAATGGGGCACAATGGGCAGCCTCAACTCTCCACCCCTTGGAGGAGGGATCAGGAGGGAAATGGGAGGCAGGGGCCCAGGGGATGGGGCTGGCACTGGCTGACTGCCTTTCAGCGCTCCACCCCACCTCCAACTTCCTGTCCCTCCTTTTCCAACTTTAAACCAGATTCCAGATACCACCGCCCTTCCAGATTCCCTCTTTCTGGCCATAGTTCCCCTCACTCCAATGTGTAAGCCTCTGCCGTGGACCTCTGGCAGCCTTTCCCATGAGGCATCCCAGCCCCTCCCTACCCCAACCCCTCTTAATTCAGACTCTGTCCTGCAAAACTCAACACTCAGTAAGGGCTGCCGCCAGAATCCCGCCCTGATGGTCGTTCCCACTGGGGGCCTTGCAAAAGGGATTGTTACCTCCATTTTAAGGAGGAAAGCTGGGTTTCCCAAACTGTATCTGACTTTACCTAAGATAGTAGAAATAGAGGAGGAACAAGACTGCTTAAAACTTTCAGAATTAGATCTGGATCACCGATAGTGCCCTTGGCAAGATGCCTGATCTCTCAGGGTCTCAGCATCCCATCCGTAAAATGGGATGGCCATAGAGGAGCCGGGGGCCAGGGACAGAATGAATAGGAGGTGACAACCTCAGGGTCTCCTTCCTGGAGGCTGGCTGATCACAGTGGTGCAGCCTGGAGGGGCCAGTGTTGCCTGGAATTGTCTCTGCACCCCCTAACCTGGGAGCCGGGGGTCCATGGAGTGCGCTCTTCTGTCTGAGATCCAAATGCCCAACTGGCATTTTCTATAATGACCAGAGAAGACACTCATTCTTCCTTCTGGCCACCTTGTCCACCTATTCAGCAAATACCACTGGCGAACATGGTCTCCAAGCAAGTCTTCATCCTCTCTGTCCCATCTCCCTTCCTTGGCCCACACCTGACACAATTTGACCTTGACTTTCCTCCTGTTGAGAACAGGGTCTAGTTTCTTCGCCCTTTGTAGCTGGTGGGCGTGTGACTCACTAGTAACCAACAGAATGTGGATAAGATGCCCTGTGTGACTTGAGGCTGTCAGAAGCGGCAAGGCAGACTTTGCCTTGGTCCCCGGGGCACTCACGTGTGGAGCCGGGGCCGCCATGCTGTGAGGAAGCCCAACCAGGCCACGTGGGAAGGAGACGTGGTGAGGCCCTGAGAGCCCTGTGAGAGGGAGCGGCAGGCCAGCACCGCTGCTCCAGCCCCTCGTGGCCGCACCCACGCGGAGAACTCACGCCAAGCCACACACGTGTGCATTCTTGTCCTTGCCTCCAGGCCTGTGCTTTAGCTCTTCTTGCTGCAGCCCGCTCAGGGTTGTATCTGATACTCATATCCCCACCTACCGCCCACCCAGGCCTTTCACCTCCAGCGAGCACCTGGGCTGGAAATGATGGCTGACCTGGCGGGGTACACCCAGAGCCTCGTTCCCAAGGGGCCTGACCCTTGGTCAGCATGCCTTCCTGAGTCTCAGTGCTCACCTGTCCATCCACCTTCCCCATCAGGAGAAGAAGGCCAGAGACGCACACATCTCTACTATCTGAGCCTTCTCCGCTTCCCTGTGTTCAGCCCCCCTGACCTACCTCCTGTGGGCTCCGTCAGTGATCCCTGCGAGGCTGCTGGCCTTCCTCTTGTCTGCCGGCCTCTTGGCACAAGCAGTCCAGAGGGTATCACCTGGTGGACGCATCCCTCCTTGGATGCCAAACCTCTGACCCTGCAGAGTCCAGAGTGGTGCGTGTGAGACTCCAATTCCCAAGTAGGTCACTGGGAGTGATGATCCATGAGGCCCTTCCTGTTTCCATCTCACATATTCTACCCACTGGGGACCCCGTGCACTGGCCACGGATTTGGGGTATACCTGCCTCCTAGGGGACAGCGCCCCAGTGTCCCAGGTGCTGTCTCCAAGCTACGGCTCACCTGAACCCTCAACTGGCCACTCCATTCCTCATTCAAGCCTGCAGCTTCCAGAAACTGGGCTCACAGTGGGAGCAGAAGACCCCACGGTCATGTGTCCCCATCATATCTCCTCACTAAAATGCATGCATTGCCTGATGTCACTGTGTCCTCTCTTGGAGCCCCCACTCTGGACGAAGCCAGCAGCCAAGTCACAGCACACTCAAGCAGCCTGTGGCGTGGCCCCGTAAGGATCAGCTGAGGCGTCCTGCCTACAAGGAGCGGCAGGCCAGCCCCGCTGCTCCAGCCCCGCGTGGCCGCACCCACGCAGAGAACTCACGCCAAGCCACACACGTGTGCATTCTTGTCCTTGCCTCCAGGCCGGTGCTTTAGCTGTTCTTGCTGCAGCCCGCTCAGGGTTGTATCTGATACTCATATCCCCACCTACCACCCACCCAGGCCTTTCACCTCCAGTGAGCACCTGGGCTGGAAATGATGGCTGACCTGGCGGGGTCCACCCAGAGCCTCGTTCCCAAGGGGCCTGACCCTTGGTCAGCATGCCTTCATGAGTCACAGTGCTCACCTGTCCATTCACCTTCCCCATCAGGAGAAGAAGGCCAGAGACGCACACATCTCTACTATCTGAGCCTTCTCTGCCTCCCTGTGCTCGGCCCCCCTGACCTACCTCCTCCTGTGGGCTCCGTCAGTGATCCCTGCGAGGCTGCTGGCCTTCCCCTTGTCTGCCAATCTCTCGGCACAAGCAGTGCAGAGGGACCAGGGCACTGTAGGGTATCACCTGGTGGACGCATCCCTCCTTGGATGCCAAACCTCTGACACTGCAGAGTCCAGAGTCGTGCGTGTGAGACTACAGTTCCCAAGTAGGTGGCTGGGAGTGATGATCTATGAGGCCCCTGCTGTTTCCATCTCACATATTCTACCCACTGGGGACCCTGTGCACGGGCCATGGATTTGGGGTGTACCTGCCTCCTAGAGGACAGCGCCCCAGTGTCCCAGGTGCCGTCTCCAGGCTCCGGCTCACCTGAACCTTCAACTGGCCACTCCATTCCTCACTCAAGCCTGCAGCTTCCGGAAACTGGGCTCACAGTGGGAGCAGAAGACCCCACGGTCATGTGTCCCCGTCACATCTCCTCACTAAAATGCAGGCATTGCCTGATGTCACTATGTCCTCTCTTGGATCCCCCACTCTGGACGAAGCCAGCAGCCAAGTCACAGCACACTCAAGCAGCCTGTGGCGTGGCCCCGTAAGGATCAGCTGAGGCGTCCTGCCTACAGACAGAACTATGTCACCAGCCAGAAGGGTCAGCTGCTGGTCCTCCAGGACAGCACCAGCTCCAGGACTTGACTTCAACCACATGAAACATCTTGACCTCAACCACATGAAAGACCAGGAGCCAGAAATTCCAAGCTAAGCTGCTCCTGAATTTTTCACCCCAGAGACTCACATGATGATAGCGCTTTACTGTCGTTAAACCACAGTCCTCTAAACACAAATCAGTATTGTATTCTTCCAGGTGTCCAGTCCTATGCGTGAATAAGCACCTAGGGAAAGGCTGGGAAGTCATCACCATGTGCCCTTCTCAGGGTCTTACAGAGTCCTTCCCCCCAGGGACACACACAGTCTCTCCTCCAGTCAATGGATTTCAGATTTGAAAACTGGCTCTGGTCTGGTGGGCTTCCCCGGTGGTTCAGACCACCAACAGGTAAAGAATCCGCCTGCAATGCTGGAGACCCAGGTTCAATCCCTGGGTCAGAAAGATCCCCTGGAGAAGGAAATGGCAACCCACTCCAGTATTCTTGCCTGGAGACTCCCATGAACAGAGGAGCCTGGTGCACCACAGTCTATGGGGTCACAGAGTTGGACATGACTAAATGAGTAAGCGCGCACATACGTCTGCTCTGGAACCTAGAAAGGGGTTGGGACTTTCAGTAGGAGTCTGCCCTTGGCCTTCTAAAGCATTGATCCCCAATTGCTTCACAGAGGACATGCTGAGGGTCACCCATGTCATCTGCCCATCTGTTTTGCCTTTAGGCATCCTGTTTCCTAGTAACCATCCCCATGGTCAGAAGTGGGTCTTGCTGCCATTTTGACCTTGAAGTTCGTCACAGTAATTGCACTGACCCTGCCTCTGACAACCACATGCAGGCACCTGGCCTCTCCTTTCTGCATCATGTTACTGGCAGTGCCACCAGGAAGACCTTTTTGCAAAGGCTACCAGCCTACAGGGCATTAGCCCCAGTAGTGATGCCTACAGGGGCACTAGCCCCAGCCTACAGGGGCAGCCCCCACTCAGCTTGTTCATGATGTCTGTGCCTTGTAAACTGAGGGTCCCTGGGGCCTCCTGGGGAACACTGGCTGAGCTCACCTACCACCTTCACTGCAGCCCATTCCTACATCTCTGCATCATTCATCCCTTCCTCCTCCATCTGCCATGTAGAGCTGACATCTCTTCTTCACGCATGTGGACCAACACTGACCAGCATCAGAGCATCTCTGCAGCCTGTCAGTCTGCCTCCTGCTAAGTCCTTTCTGGCAGCATTTATATTCTACTTTGACTGTCAGAACAGGTAACACAGAGGGGGCTTAAACACAGACATGCATTTTCTCACAGTTCTGGAGGCTGCAAGGTCCTTGGAGGGGGGGGGTTGGGATAGGGGAAGCTTTTATAACGGCCTCAGAGGTTCACTGTACTTCGCTAAGGGGGTGACATTTCCCTTTGGGAAATGTCCCCTTTGGGGACAGACTATGACACAGGAGTAGCTCTTTCTAGAGCAGGCTCTGCCATGCCCAGCCCAGAAGAGACTATTTGAGGTTGCACATTCTTTTTTTTTTTTTTAGTTTTTTAAAAATTAATTTATTTTTTAATTGAAGGATAATTGGTTTACAAAATTTTATTGTTTTCTGTCAAACCTCAACATTAATTGACCATGTATGTGAAGTGAAGTGAAATCGCCCAGTCGTATCCGACTCTTTGCGACCCCATGGCCTGTAGCCTACCACGCTCCTCCTTCCATAGGATTTTCCAGCCAAGAGTACTGGAGTGGGTTGCCATTTCCTTCTCCAGAGGATCTTCCCGACCCAGGGATCGAACCCGGGTCTGTGAAGTCCTGTGAACCCACATTGTAGGCAGACGCTTTATCATCTGAGCCACCAGGGAATAGGTATACATATATCCCCTCCCCCTCTCCCATCTGCTTGCAGGTAGTGAACTGTTGTCAAGCAAAAGAGTTGATGTCACATGTTTGGGCGAATCCAATGAAACGCACCACAAAATCCACATTGAACCCAAGCACCGTGAGAGAAACACAGGGTACTAGCACCCTCCCCACGGCAATGCCAACTGGTTCCCAGTGTCACACGTGGGTGCTGGCCTGTGACCCGTTCTTGCCCTGGGCCGTAGCTGCACATGAGAGTGTGAAGCATGGCTTTCTCTGGATGATCTAGAGAAAGAACAGCCCGACTCTTCTTTGTGCTGTGTGGGAGTTTGTAAGATGAACACTCCTGCACCATTTCCATTTCATCCTTGAGACATCAGTATTCTCTGTTCTCTAGGGCAAGTGACCAGCCTGGGGACTCACAGTACCCTTGATGGGCAGACTTCCCCTGGCTGCCCCCAGTGCCAAGAAGGTCCCCGCAGCAGGGTGGACCCAGAATCCCTCCCAGTGTCTGCCTTCCAGGTGGCTGGCCCTCAGCCTGCATCTCAGACCCTCCAGGACTTATCCTACCTTCCTTTCTGGTCTCACTTCCCACACTCTCTTCTGCTCCATGTCATCCAGAAGCTGCTGGAAGGCCCACTGCCCACCATCATTGCAAACCTTTCCTGCTGTTTTCTGTCTGTTGTGTCTACTCCACCTGGAAGGTGACTTCTACCTGACAGTGGTGCACGACCAAATCCTCTTTACAAGGTCAAGCCCTTTGCAGCCTCAGGCCCTTTGTACATGCTGTTCTCTATCCTGGGAAGCATCTTCCTCCACTTTCTGTTGGGCAGTTTGCTATTCTTCTCTTACTTCTCCCCACTCTGAGACACCTTCCACTGACCTTCCACCCCCTCCTCCTTAGCATTTACTGATGAACACAATTGTCTATTAATTTTTTTATTTAGTTAACACCCTCCTCACCCACTAGACTACAGGCTTCAACAAGCTCTATTTGGTCCTCTTCTGTATCAGCACTTGGAACAAAGCAGGAGCCCTTTATCTTTCGTGTGGAAAGAACACATGAATGTCATGGACATGGCTGTCCCCTTCTACCCTGGGTGACATGTGTGATACTCAGGGTGCAGCGTATAAAGCTCAGCTCAGCTCAGCTCAGCAGCTCACCCCAATTCCACCTCTCTCTGCTGTGTGAACAAGTCACTGAACCCTGGAGCAGGGTGGCAAACAACTCCTGGTGGCCTGACTCAGAGCCCCAGGCTTCTGATCTGTACAATGGGGATATGTAGGTCTGCCCATAGGGTGGTTTAGATATTAGGCTGTCAGGGCTATAAAGTGGCTGCCCAATGCCTGACCACAGGGAGCACTCCGCTCACACATAGCAGATCCCTCCCCCCACCCCGGGTCATCTTCTCAACTTTTCATCAGTAAGCAACCACTGAACGCTGACTCTGTGCTGGAGGTGAGAGAACAGATGTGTTGCTTCCAGGACGTCCTTGCTAGGGAGTGAGGCCTTGGCCCCGGTGGACTCTGCCCACGGGAGAAGCTGCTTTGATGATGTGGGGGCTCCTGGAGAATCCTGGAAGCCTTCCTGGAAGAGGGGACAGAGCGCTGAGGAGCTGGCTGTCAGCCACTAGTCCCGGGCCATGC